AAAGTCCATGTTGACAACCCCCCCCCCCCCCCCCCGCCCCAATTCCTGGTCCACGCAGTGTTGCCTTCATTGGCATTCCGCCAGCCGCACAAGGCATGACAGAAAGCTGCCGGAAGTTACACACAGATCGGCAACCACTTTACGTTCTGACATTGGCCAACTTTACAAATACACTCGTGCAAACCCCTACCAAAACAAAGAATGCAAGATATTCCCTTCAACCTATTTTCTTCTCGAGTCTTTCGCCGACAACATGCGGCACCTCCTCCCTATGCGGCAGCGCGGAAGGAATCCCTGCGCTCTCCCGTCTGGCGCGCTTCAATGGCAGCCGCTTCAAATCCCACATTGCCCTTTTCCTCGCAACTGGCCGCGCTTCCTGGCAGTATGCGCAGACGGGCATCATTTCCAGAGCCAACGCTCCTCCACTGTACGTTGTAGAACTCTGCTAACTTCATCTGCTCACATAGGTGCCACAAATCACACAGTACAAGGTCAATTTCGCTGGTGGAAGATGTCTTCTTCAGGAAGCAGCAAGGTCGCGTGCCTGGTCAAGGCGGTCCTCGCGTGCCATGCAGAACCAACAGGCCATCAGTGACAGAGTCTATACCTGTCTCTTGAGGATCCAGGGCGCTCGGGGTAAAAGCTCTATAGGTTGTCTGCGTGGGATGACGATTTCCACAATTGCCAGACGTGCCTCTTCCATGGCTTCCTTCTCTTCCCCATCATACGACCCTGCGCATGGCACACAGTCTCATACCAAAACCGCAGAACAAGTGCATGCGTCACAGATGAACAGGGATTTGTATTGTGCAGCCGTCTCTTCTCCACCGCCGGCACATGCATTCAAACAATCTTCAGAACATGCAACAGCGACCACAAAGCGCGCATCCATACATTCACCATGCAGCAGTGTCGCACCAGGTGTTTCCTGCCATACCAATCTTCTGCAAAGAAACGCCCATCTCAAATGCAGACCAAGAACCGGTACCATCCACCACTGCCTCAGAGATGATCAGCCCAGAGGGGCTGCACAATATCATTGCTGTCGATGAGCATCGCGAAGCTGCAGATGAGGGTCGCGAACACATTGCGGTGGGCACATGTGGCATTTGCTGTTATATCGCACTGACCTGGAATGTAATCATCCACCGCGAAATCACAGTCGTACTTCGGAGGGTGAACTGTCGTGGTCCCAGAGGCAGCATCCACCTCTTTCACAGGCTGAAACGTCAAGAAAGTCTGGAGCGCCCTTGCCAACTGAGCTGGGGTTGAAGACTTCAAGCAGTACATTGGGACTCCAAGGTCCTGTGCTGCTTGTCGAATCTGTTACGAGAAACAGCACAGACGGCAGAAGTCAGCACAAGATTCGCCCAGCCTTAGGCGAGGCTGACGTTGTTCATTATTTTCTGATCTTTTTATGACCATTTTTGGATCAATAATTTGATGTCAAGCACCAAAAGCTACCAAAACCTGGGCAACTTGCCCGAAGGTGGAGAGAACCCATCCACTGAGCAGGACTGGGTGTCAGGAATGCCAGACAAAAAGGACACAACACTTTCCCTGCCACACACAACAACGAGCTATTGCAGCACATCAAACATCGTGCACCACAATTATCGTCAGCTGTGTCTGGAGCACTGTAGGATGTGACTTTGCACTTCGTAGCGAATGCAAATCGGTGCCAGTGCAATGCCTTGACTTCTTCGCCATCTACAGGTTGCTGCCATCATGTTGACTACTCTCGCAGTCCCTGGGAGCCAATGGTTAGGTTAGCAAAGGTGCCCACCTAACACCTAATACGCTTGCTTTAGGCTTGGCTGATGCGTAACCAACGCGATTTGACGGCACGAACTCCCAAATTCACCAGGTCGACTTTGAGGCACATTGGCAATCTCTTGCATTCTGTCAAATGCCACAAAAGCCAAATCTCGATGGGGCTGCAAAAATGGCTGATTCTCAACAGTGGAGCTGGAGGGAAGGCATGCGCAGCAACCAGACATTTTCTTCACCCCTCATTAACAAGGTCCATATGTTGCTTTTCTCCAGAAATGGACCTGCTGCATTGCACCAGGAGTATGGTCTTCTGACAACTTGACATCAATCCACTCTGAGCATCGCTGTCAAAAGTGTCGAAACACTGACCAAACAACTCCCCCTTTTCCGGTCCTTCCTGGTCCCACTGTCTATGAGCGATGACAGCAGGACCAAACAAGTGGAGATCTGGTTGGTTCCCCAAGGGTGTCAAGAATCGTGGCCACAGCCAGCCCAACCAAAACACATCGTGGCCAATTATTGTGCGAATCACACATCCAAACGTGTTTCTGACAGGTTCTCGAACATATAACCAGTGTTCCAGTTCAACAACATATCTCAACTTACCCATCCCCCTTGCTTTAATCTCGACTTGGAAGCAAGGACCAAGTTAGCTTGGCGGAGGTAGCTCGTCAGTGCCACCTGGCCCTGCAGCTGCATCATGCCCAGCACATCCCACAGCGCGTCGGCATCCACACCCCAAAGATACAGGCGCAACAGCACGGCCTTGCCAGAACCATCTGCACCCGCAGCAAGGCAGTCGGGCTCTCCAGTGTCAACACCCTGGCCGGATGTCCCAGTTTTGGTGACTGCTGCAGAGCGTTTAAACGGCACAGCCCAGGGTTCATCCTGGCTTGGGTTGCTGGCAGAGGTGGAGGGCAGGGGAGCTGCCTCGACGGAAGACCACCACACGGAGGATGGCTTTCTGTCTTCCTCTGCATCAGTATCCAGTGGTAGGCGGGCTGGTGGCTTCCTGCCATCGTAGACATGCCCAGGTTGGGAGGTGACGTCACCGTTTGCATCACGCTGGCGTATTTCCCCATGGGCTGACCCGCCTGCACACAGTCAGAGAGTGTTGTGTGTCCAAGCAACTTTTGACAACTTATGTGTTGTCTTGAATGGACTCGTGTTAGTGTCCACCCTGTGACTGCATTTGTTTAACAGAGACAAAACACAGCCCAGGGACTTCCGGGGCATTGTCGAGCATGTGGGTGCACAAAGAATGCCCAAGACACGATCACCAACGAGCCAAAATCCACATTTCAAATTGAACCACTCGCCACCACAAACTATGCCTCCCCATTCGTTCATTTCTTTGGAATCTGCATATTTGTGGTTCGCTGTCTGAGGGTGAAGCTAAGTTTTCCATGAAAATCTTTGTCTTTCCTACATTTTTCTGCCACACTATCGAAGGACCAGTGTTGCATTAAAGCTCTAGCATTGGAGTGGGCATGGATCCATGAGCTGTACCCAGACTCGACAAACTGCTCCTTCATTGACACTTGGAGTGCCACAGGCCGAATTATGACACAAAACCATCCAAGGCGAAGCAGTTGCGGGAGACAGGGGCAAATGTTTTACTGCTACAGCTGAATCCATTCTCACTACAGAAGGCATAGCAGCCAGCGTGAGTGCCTTTATGAGGGCCGACTTGCCAAGAAGCACGATGTCCTGGTTTTCCCACTGACAAAGGGTGGGCTTCTCCATGGTTTCCCACGCTTCCTTTTGTGCAACCTTGGAACTTTCTTCATGGAATTTGCTTGCCTCCAACTGAGAAACAAATGACTGTAAGGGGGAAGAAACACTGTGTTTGATGCCATACCGTGTCATGGCAATATCTGACACAAGGGCTTTGCCTGGTTAAGTTGGGCAAGCAGAATCGAAAGATTTCCACCTGCAAGTATGGTGTCCACTGCCTCTGCCAGGTCGTTATGAACACGCCATGTGCTCCTGTCCAGCATCTCAATCGCAATGTCAAAGGCTGGCGGCCCTGACCTCTCCAGCACACTCTTCTGGCCCCGTCGTCGACGGGCTTCCTCGTCACTTAACGTCACCGAGCTGATGCCCCCCACAAGGTCTGCAAGCGATGGGTTTTTCAGGACGTTCTCCAGCTCATTCCCTGCAGCAATAAGCAAGTTCAGTTGGCCAGTGCACTCCTTGGATTGCATTGCCCTACACAGGGAACAACGGCTGCTAAACCTTGTTAACCACAGTGGCATATCAACAACACAAACTGACACTGACTGTTGAGTGGGCCGATGTGGCTTCCCACTGATATCATCTATCTTGAGTGCTTGCAGCATCAAATGTGGTTGTCAGTGTAGTTGTGCCACATATCAAAAAGACAAGAATGATGGTGTACGCACCCCTATTCTTGCCAAAGCACTTGAAGCTCTCAGCCATGCAGGTGAAGGTTTCTCAAAATTGTCCCATTGCTGAAAAGAGGATGCTTGTCCTGATTTTCATGGGTCTACAGATTCGATGTCTGCAATCGTGACTCAGAATGGCCAGGTGGCACAAGAAAAGCAAACAACCAATGGCAATGGCTCTAAACACAGTGCAAGCAAGCAACAATTTATCATTGGTTCCAACAGGTGCACTGTGTGGTGTGAGCCAATATATGGCATAGGAGCTCATACCATGGCAAGTGGCAACCAGCTGCACCCCCCGCTGGGCAATCGTCTGTGCTGCAAGGCACTCCAGTTCGGTGCCCACTTCATCTATGACAATCACCTCAGGCATGTGGTTTTCAATGGCTTCAATCATCACGGCATGTTGCTTGCTTGGGTGACGAACCTGATGGCAGGATTACGAGGGCACTAGTTGGCATTCAACAGACACATCCCAATGTTGTTCATCACGAGAAAAATCAACAGGTTGCTGTGTTGTGGTCATATGGAATCCACATAAACATATCAAGGTTGCAAAAGATTGAGTGCAAATCCACAGGGCAATTGCTAGACAAGTGTGCAGCAAGGCACATGAAATCCTTGGCAGGGCATAACCCATGACAGTTGGCACCCATTCCCCACAAAGGGATCGCTGAGAACACCATCCATCCGCGTTTACAGAGGCAATGGAGTTGGCTAGACAACAACATCATCACCACTGGATTATACAAGACATCACCCAGCATCCCTTCCTTTCACATCTCCATCTGCTTCCCAATAGTTTTTTCTTGCTTTGGGGGCAGGTTAAGTCAAACACACTGCATTGCCGCTGGGGCACACAGTTGGAAGTATGCCGACAGCTGCAAAGCACTGACAGTGCATGCTAGTGAAGCACTTGTTCACAGCACCCATGACTAAATGCAACCAACCTTGTTCGGCTATCTTCCTGGCAGCAGCCTGACACTGGGTTTACCAAGAACTACATGTTCCCTTGCAATGCCGCACATGAACAATGCTAACAGAACAATGCTAACAGAACAATGCTAACAGTGGCTGTGGCCTCCAGGCCAGTCGATCACCTGCATTCTTCTCGCTTGGCCAATCCCTGGGTGCGGCACATCGCCGTCCCCACCTATTTCGTTGGATGTGTCCACGATCACAACCCGTTTCTTGCACTGGTCGGCCAGAAGTTTTGAGACACCTCTGATGACAGTTGTCTTTCCAACGCCTTTGCAGAACATGAACAAAATCTGTAAGGGGGCCCCCACACTTGGAAAGTAGAACACCTCACAACAGCCCCACTGATTCTGTAAGGGCCCTGCCACCATGCCATACTCAATTCGTCAAGCAGGTTACCCTTGCACTCAAAATTGCCACTTCTGGCTGCATGTCCTCTTGCGCCAGGCGTGATACATTCAGAACAACTTGTCCCTCAGAACACAGTGCCCAGACACCAAGCTCCACTCAACATTCTTGCACTGACACAGATTCTCACCTGGTCTCCCCAGCAGAAGAATAGAAAGCCCACTGGATGCCAAATCTGCAACCATATCTACGCTCTCAGAACGATTTCGGCCCACTCGGCAAGTCAGCCCGATGATCTTGCCCTCTCGATTTCTGGACACACAAGCCACACCAAAAAAGGAATTACCTCCCTTTGTGCGCACGCTTTCAAATTTGGTCTCTGTCGGCACTCCAAGGACATTTCCTTGCTGGCGGCTACTTTCAGCCAGGGCAACCCACTTCATCTCTTCAAGTTCACCTCACCTGGAGGGAAGGAGCGGAAAAGAGCAGCTCGACATGGTCACTGACTGCCCTTTGCTGTGGACTTGCAGCAAACCATGTTGATGCACTCATACATGATCCCTTTTGAGCATCATGATGTTCTGCAGATTGCTTTTGGGGTGCTGGCCACCACAGGATGGTCCCATGTGATGATTTGCTCCATGACAAGAACTGTTTACACAATCAAGAGCTACAGCCAAAAGATTCTTGGTGTACCATGAGTGACTGTGAGGAGGGACAGGGACACAATTCTGAAATTGAAACTGGCTGCAGCACCATTCAAGCTGAATGCTTCGAACGGGTCATCAGCAAATGTGCAATCTGTGGTGCAAGGGAAGTCTCCTCAACTCTGCATGGGTGTGTTACAAGAAAGGTAGCAACATGGGATGACTGCGGACAACAATCTACAATCCCATGGTCAGCAGTGCAACCTTCCCCACCTCATGCAGCTGATGCGATGCAACGTTTGCTCAATGCCAGCCCGGTTGTCAGCCCCAAAGTCACCAACCTAAACGCATGAAAACGCACTTTCAAATTGGCAAACACAGTTGCCAGCAGCAATTTTTCAGCAACACAGACCATAACAAATCCATGAGTCAAGGACAAAGCCAAGAAGTGTCACTGTTGTCACTCTATATCTAATAAGTACTTTCTGTCTTCATCAATATGTCGATGACGCACTGCACAGAATAACAGGTGCAGCTCCAGCCCATACATGAAACATCATCGAAAGGAATCAGATGTATTGGGCCAGGGCAGCAGCAATCGCTGCACCCATCAAAGCTCTGTGAATTCCCTTCATCGTCAATTTCCTGGTCAGGTCGCCACACCCACCTGCTCAACAGCAAACTCCAAATCCTCAAGACTGACGACATCGTCCGACAGAAAATAGTCGCCAGACGGAAACCGTGCAAATGGCACCCTCCCAAGGTCCATAACAATCTCCAGCAGCTGAACACAGAAGAACCCAAAGGCCGTCAGCTTACGCTCAGACCACCTGAGCGCGTCTGCACCGACGCGCAGCAAAAGCGATGGCGCGTAGAAGCTAGTATGACAGAGCCTTAGCGGATAAACCCGCTCGCCGAGCTGTGCCGTAGGCGCCCGTCGCCAAGTCCCACAAGTGATGGAGAAATCACACCAATGTGGCAAGGGGTCTCAAAAATGTTGTCCAGCATCCATATACACGCTCGACGTTCACAGCAAGTGGCGGCGACCGCCCCGGAACCAAAGTCCCATGCCTCCACGCCAAGCGGCCCCGCGAGCAGAAGAAAGAAACGAGAAACGCAAGGCGAAAGAAAGTCGAAGGTTGACGCCAAAAGAAGGGATGCAGCACTGCGGGGGCAGCGCCCGCCGCCCAAGACGCGTCGCGACACGCGCAAAACTCTTCATCCCCGCTGTCGTCTGGTGTGGACACCGCTCTTTGGCAACTGGACATGCTGCGTGGACACCTGATGTTCTCTCCTTTGCATTCGCCTTGTTTTGTCTCGCGCTTTTGCTTCTGGGGGGACAGCGCGATTATGCCTCGGTATTCTGTTTCATAACAATCTTTCCCGACTGCCGCCATTATCCCGCTCTTAGCACGCTGACTGCGGTCAGCGGCGCCAAAGCCGAATCCCGCCATCCTCCGCCCCCCCCACCTCGCCAAGCTCCCCGTGCGACTCCAGCCCCGATCGGAACCTCTCCGGCAGCAGGCCCATTATCTTGCGAATGTCCTCCAGCTCCCCCTCCCTCCGCCTCTCGGGCTCCTTGGCCCATGGACTCCTCCGCTCGCCCCTGAGCGCCGCGGCCCGACTGGGACAATTCGCAGCCACGGCGGCCTCAGGGGTTGCTGACGATGATGGCGATGCTGCTGCCGAGCTCGCGTGGCCAACCACGCTAGATCGCCTCCGGTCGCCGCTGCACTGCGGCACGGGGTTCCTGCGGGTATTGTGGCCCAGCCATTTGGCGCTGGGCGCGTCGCGCAGCGGGGATTGGCCGTTCAGGGATGGCAGGTGGCTGACGAAGGGCATCGCTGGCGAGGGCTGGGCGACCGTTCAGCCTGTGCGCGGGAGGGGGTAGGGTGTGTGGGGGGCGGGCGTGGGGACCGCGGGGAGGCCCCAGGTATCCCAACGGGGGGCAGACCTGGGCCAGGATATTCCCCCGGCTGCCTGGAGGAAGATTGCCGGTGGGGCGTGGCCGGACGCTGCTCATTCTGGCGCTGAAAAAGTGAGTGCTCTTTTTTGGGTTCGGTTGGTGCGCGAGACATGCGAGACCGTTGGATTTCGGCGCAAAAACATCGCGGTCAGTGGTTGTCTTGGCGGGAATGGACCGCTGATCCGCTCCTCAGCAGTTGTGGTGACCGCCGCCCAGCCTTGTTGGGTGATGTTTCTTGAATGGATGATATCAACTTGTTTGATGTGTCGACGCATTATTCGAATTGCTATTTGCAATTCTTCTGGACAAGTTTCCTTGTGTTTCGAAGAAAAAACACGGACGGCTCTGGATACCGTTATTCTCACAAGCTTGTGAGGAACCTAAGATCCTGTAGGCTGCGGGCTATGCGTTCAGCCGTTCCTGTCCAATGACTCCAGCTACTTGGCATGGGCCCATTTTGAGGGCAAGTTTGCAACGGACCGTGTATACTGCGGCAACTGTCCGGCTGTCTGTGTCGCGTTTGCTACCGAATGACGGCACCCAAAATTTCAGCAGGAGACGCTGCGGCATAGCTCAAGCGTGCCCAGGCAAGCAGCAACCCAGACAACAACCAGCCCAGACACCAGTACGTGATGGCCTAAAAGCAAACTAGGCTCAACCCCTATGTTGGGTAGAATGTAGGCTGGGATTCAAATCAAGAAAAGCAGCCCAAATTGCCACGTTACTAAAAAGAGGAAACGCTTGTTGCGAAAACACTGCAATGTTCCAACTTTGTGTCAATGACGCGAAGTCCTTTGATTCAGCAGCGACACATGGCGCAGCGCGTTTTCACCCTAGCTTGGATGTGGACGTGGGGAAGGGACAGTGCAGAGCAGACATGCACTGGATGCCTTGGGGCCCAACTCAGCCGGCTGGCCACAAACGCAGGGGCCCAAGCCACCCGCACGCGGACTGCCGGCCACCGTTGCCTGGAGCAGACCTGACGCGCCTGTGCCTCTTCGACCTGCTGGGCTGACTGTCGGCTGCCCCTTTCATGGCCCTTCCCGCCTCTGCGCCAGAGTTATGGCGTCAGATTGGGGCGCCCAACGACAGTGAGTCGCAGCAGTGGGATCGTTGCAGCCTGCGGCCGTCCAACCCAGCTCCCCAGTTCCTTCTGGCCCTTTCCGTGGCATGCGTTTCCAGCATGCCCCGTGACAGACAGTGAATCGGTGGCCACCCCGAGAGCGATTGAGCCAAACATGCGTCTGCATGCGCAATGCGCAGTTTTGCGTCATCCGGTTCTGGTCATCTGATGGTCAAGTGCTTGGGATCGCGTGGGAGCCCCTGCCGTTGCGTGACTGGGCGCTGTCGATGGTGGCCACAGCGACGCCTTCGGAGCATCCTGTTTTCTATCGGGTTGGAAACAAGGCCCTTGTATTAGCCCTAGCGCATCGCTGTGTGGGGCCGTGAATTTAGTGTGCTTTGGTGCGGCAGGGCGTGCAGCATTCGGCACGCCGGGATGCGTCCAACTCCGCCACGGCACCAGTCACGTCTGCACGATCGGCAGGGGCGGCCAGAGGTGGGCTTTTGACGTGCACTCTCCGCTGGCGCTGCGGAGCATTGCAGCGGGAAATTCAGGATGTGAAGGTGCCTTTTGCCGACGCAGCGATGGAAATCTTTTGAGCCTGCTGCAACTGTTACAAGGGGATCGTTGAGCAAGTTCGTTCGGTGGATAGTACAGCATAAATTTGCAATTTCTGGGAACAGTTGCTCTTCACCGCCCCAATAGATTCCTGACAATATTACATATAACAAGCTAACAGAAAACAGTCTGTAGGCCTGCATCACTGCCTATGCGATGATCACCAAGTGCATTGGGCGTTTTTGCCCTTTCCATTGTTTGTGCAACAGGCTCAACACAGGGATGGACATCAAATGTAGTATCATTTGGGCTGAAATTAATGGAACCAGCTCGAAGCCACCCACGGCCAGTGCTGTTGCTCCACAACATCGGATTGTGCGCTTTTTTCTTGGGAGCTTCCTCCCCAGCAAGCCGTACATTCTTCTGCAGTGCCTGAACAGCATATCCCCATTGATATCGTGCACATTTGTTCCCCTGTGTTGACATTCAGTCTGTTCAACACTTGCTCCAGTTTCACCTTTCCAAGGCTGTTGGCTGACAAGAAGCAACAAAGGACGTGCAGCAAATAAAAAGGGGTGCTGTTGTCAGGTGGCCTTCTGGAATGCAAGCTGTGGGTCGCAGTGATGGAGCAGTCAACGATCAAGATGGTGATTTTTGGGCAAGGCAATGTGGCACAGCTACTTCTGCTGTTGTGGCCCTCAGCATGTTTGTGGTCCCTTATGTGGGAACTAATGCAACCATGTTTGAGGCGCCAGCTGCCATGCTTGCTGGGGAAGAACGCCGAACAGTGGACTTATTCAAAAGGAACACGCCAGCTGTTGTCAATGTCACAAATATGGGCATGAGGTACACCTGTCCAGAGCACTGAATCTGGTAGCAAACAGTCATGCTGCACAATGCGTGTTTTATTGGGAATGGATTGTCAGCCTCTTGCTAGTTATGTGATGACTAGTTGCACGGCAAAGGGGTGGTTCCTAAGATAGAAAGGTAGTGCATTGCCTTCCTCCATGTTGCACATTGCCAGACACAGCGTGTGAGTTCCTGAGCACCTTGGAAAACGAAGCCCTGTCCTTTGTGCCAGTTGGCCGCTCATGTCCTGCGCCCCGGGCCTCTAGTTGAGGACTAGAAATGTCTCCCTTTCCTGCTCGTCTTGATTTTCCAGCTGCACTGTTGCACAGAAAAGGGAATTCTCAGGCACCTTTGGCATTCTAATACGATCACATACTCACCACATGGTGCTGGATGAGCTGGTAGTTCAGGCTGCAAGGGCACAGAATGCAGCAGGTGACCCAATGAGCATAGTTCGCTTTGATGTCCTCAATTCTTAAACCAATGGTCATGAGTGAGTTCGATACTGTGCAGACAGGACGCCCTCACGCTGGACATACTGGAGATTCCACAGGGAGCAGGGTCAGGCTTTGTTTGGGACAACAGTGGACATGTGATCACAAATTACCATGTCATACAGGATGCATCGGACGTCCAGGTGGGAACAGTGTGAAAATCAGTGGAGCAAACGTGGCGATGTTGTTTGGGGGAAAGTATGTGAAACTGCATTCACGTACAATGGCGATCGGTTGTGCTGTTCTGTGTCAGTTGACAGATTCTAAAGTTGCTGAAATGGGCAATAGAAATCAGTACTCAATTGTTTATTGCCAACATTTTTGCTTGCAACATCTTGTGTGAGTCTGCCTGATTGGCAGGTGACGTTGAGCAATGGGAAACAGTACATGGCCAAGGTGGTTGGTATCGACAGGGAGAAGGACATCACGGTCCTGAAGCTTAATGATGCAGACTTGGTGAGCTCAACACTGTGGAACCGTCTTCGATGCCAGCTGGTGTGGATGGTTACTTTCTCTGGAAGTGCAGCAAATTGTTGCATTTTGATGCGCCCACTTTCATACTGTTGCAATGCTGCATTGTTTTGTTGTCATCATTGCACAGTCCCCATCTCAGGTTTGCTCAGGTTTTTAACAGAAGTTAGTGAACATGAGCTGCTTTCCTTGTTGATTCCTATCTTC